GTCCACTGGAGTATATATAGTCTGGTTTAGAAACTGCTCCCATCAACACCAACCCACTCTTGAGGTGAAGACAATTAACAAAGACAACATTTTGGAAAAAGGACATCCTCGTTTTACATTTTTAAAGAACCAGTCTTCCGACTCGTATGACCTGCTGATCATAAATATCACTGATTCTGATGAAGGACTTTATTACTGTGGAACAATTGAACCAAAGGGGACTGAAAATGTCTACGTCTACGGAAACATCACCACAAGGATCAAACTCCGTAAGTTCTCCTTTCTAATTTTATCAGAGCTTCTAGAAGGAAAATCATTTTACAGAAGTTTGACCAAATTGTTTTACATTAATGTGGAGCTGAATTGGAAAAGATGAAACATCAAGATGTTAACAAGTCGATTCATCTAAAAATATATTTTAAAAAAACTCACTACAGGAACATTTTGAAAGAATCTTCTAATTATTTGGTTAAACAGATGAATGTTCTTTAAATTACTTTATCATTTGACCTTTAATGACCTGAGATAATAACCATTAAGTTTAACAATCTCTTTTTCAGCAGAGACCTGGCAAAAAAACAAAAAACAAACATAAAATAGTAACTGAAGTAACCTTTGAATCAATTACAATAATCAAATAAGTAACAGTTCCCAATATATTGAATGCATTTATAAAATAGTGTTTTGGGGTTTGAGAAAAATTATCCTACATTTCTTTACAAATAGAATTTTTTTCAAAGTAGATTTGCTCTTAAAGGGAATTTGACTTTTTTGTTGATGGTGCAGATAAATTAGATGAATATATTCAGAATACAGAGTCTATACTTATACACAATATAAAACATACAGTATACTATATGCAATATATGTAGTACATAGCTATGTACTATATACACAATAGACTGCATTTAAGGTAAGGCAAGGTTACGCAAGGTTAACGCGAGGTCTGGACACGTTGGTGCAGAACGGAGGAGCGAGAGAGGCAGTGTCAGTGTCGCTGGGGTTTCTGGGACTTGTTGATAAGGCTGGTAGCGGATGGATAGAAACTGTTCTTGTGCCGTGAGATTTTGGTCCTGATGGACCGCAGCCTCCTGCCAGAGGGAAGTGACTGAAATAGATCAGCCACTATCTTCCCTGCACGCCTCAGAGCCATGGAGGGTTAGATCCTTGAGAAATGGAAGATTACAACCAATCAACTTCTCTGCAGACCAGATGACATGCTTTTGTTCTTGGCGGTGGCACCAGCATACAAGATGATAATGGAGGAGGTGCGGATGGACTCAATGGTGGAGGAGTAGAAGTGCACCATCATTGTCCTTGGCAGGTTGAATTTTTTTCTGCTGCCACAAGAAATACATCCTCTGTTGGGCTTTCTTGGTGAAGGAGTTGATGTTCAGCTCCCACTTTAGGTCCTGTGAGATTATAGTTCCCATTCCTGTCGATTATTATGTTTAGAGAGAGAGATTAGAGATGAGCTTTATTGATCTCACAGCGGAGAAATTCACTTGTCACATGTTGGCATAGAAGTCAAAGAGGGTGCAAACAAGGAGGAAAAAGGTGCATTAGGAATAAACAATAAACAATATATATATACAGTATATCCAGATATATACAGTATGTCAAGATAAATAAGGATTAAGGTGCAAGTGTACATGTATCGCACACGATGAAAAACAAAATAAAAATAGGAAATAAGAAAATAAGACATAAAAAATAAAAATATGTACAGTCCGGATGGCTTATTTACAGGTGGATTTACTTTTACGTTAAAGTGTAGTAGGTAGGGAGCAACGGTGAGGTAGTGGTATGTTTAATAAAATTTTATAAATTATCAGTATTTACTGGTAGAGATCAGCTAATGACATCCATTCTTAATCACAAAAGGTGATTAAGAAATAATTATCTGTCTTAAAACTACAGGCTACAACAATCTGTTTAGCTGCNGATGAAGACAATTAACAAAGACAACATTTTGGAAAAAGGACTTCCTCGTTTTACATTTTTAAAGAACCAGTCGTCCGACACGTATGACCTGCTGATCATAAACGTCACTGATTCTGATGAAGGACTTTATTACTGTGGAACAATTGAACCAAAGGGGATTGAAAATGACTACGACTACGGAAACATCACCACAAGGATCAAACTCTGTAAGTTCTCCTTTCTAATTTTATCAGAGCTTCTAGAAGAAAAATCATTTTACTGAAGTTTGACCAAATTGTTTTACATTAATGTGGAGCTGAATTGGAAAAAGATGAAACATCAAGATGTTAACGAGTCGATTCATCTAAAAATGTATTTTGAAAAACTCGCTACAGGAAAACTTTGAAGAATCTTCTAATTTTTTGGTTAAACAGATGAATGTTCTTTAAATTACTTTATCATTTGACCTTTATTGACCTGAGATAATAACCATTAAGTTTAACAACCTCTTTTTCAGCAGAGACCTGGCAAAAAGAAAAAAAACAAACATAAAATAGTAACTGAAGTAGCCTTTGAAACAGTTACAATAATCAAATAAGTAACAGTTCCCAATATATTGAATGCATTTATAAAATAGTGTTTTGGGGTTTGAGAAAAATTATCCTACATTTCTTTACAAATAGAATTTTTTTGCAAAGTAGATTTGCTTCTAAAGGGAATTTGACTTTTTTGTTGATGGTGCAGATAAATTAGATAAATATATACAGAATACAGAGTCTATATTTATACACAATATAAAACATACAATATGCTATATGCAATATATGTAGTACATAGCTATGTACTATATACAAAATAGACTGCACTTTAAGGTAAGGCAAGGTTACGCAAGGTTAACGCGAGGTCTGGACACGTTGGTGCAGAACGGAGGAGCGAGAAAGGCAGTGTCAGTGTCACTGGGGTTTCTGGGACTTGTTGATAAGGCTGGTAGCGGATGGATAGAAACTGTTCTTGTGCCGTGAGATTTTGGTCCTGATGGACCGCAGCCTCCTGCCAGAGGGAAGTGACTGAAATAGATCAGCCACTATCTTCCCTGCACGCCTCAGAGCCATGGAGGGTTAGATCCTTGAGAAATGGAAGATTACAACCAATCAACTTCTCTGCAGACCAGATGACATGCTTTTGTTCTTGGCGGTGGCACCAGCATACAAGATGATAATGGAGGAGGTGCGGATGGACTCAATGGTGGAGGAGTAGAAGTGCACCATCATTGTCCTTGGCAGGTTGAATTTTTTTCTGCTGCCACAAGAAATACATCCTCTGTTGGGCTTTCTTGGTGAAGGAGTTGATGTTCAGCTCCCACTTTAGGTCCTGTGAGATTATAGTTCCCATTCCTGTCGATTATTATGTTTAGAGAGAGAGATTAGAGATGAGCTTTATTGATCTCACAGCGGAGAAATTCACTTGTCACATGTTGGCATAGAAGTCAAAGAGGGTGCAAACAAGGAGGAAAAAGGTGCATTAGGAATAAACAATAAACAATATATATATACAGTATATCCAGATATATACAGTATGTCAAGATAAATAAGGATTAAGGTGCAAGTGTACATGTATCGCACACGATGAAAAACAAAATAAAAATAGGAAATAAGAAAATAAGACATAAAAAATAAAAATATGTACAGTCCGGATGGCTTATTTACAGGTGGATTTACTTTTACGTTAAAGTGTAGTAGGTAGGGAGCAACGGTGAGGTAGTGGTATGTTTAATAAAATTTTATAAATTATCAGTATTTACTGGTAGAGATCAGCTAATGACATCCATTCTTAATCACAAAAGGTGATTAAGAAAAAATTATCTGTCTTAAAACTACAGGCTACAACAATCTGTTTAGCTGCTGAAAAAATCTACAATAAATTTTGAGGTTTTTTTATATATATAATTTACCATTCCAAAATATTTTAATGAAATGTGAATTTGAGTTTTTCCTAAATGTGTCTCTATTTTTAGATGCAGGGTCTGGTTTCCTGCATCAGAACATTTCCAGACCAGTGGAGGAGTGCAGTTCGTGCTGGAAGCTGCTGTTCTCTGTCTGTCCTGCTGTTTCTCTGCTCTCAGCTCTCTTCTCCTCACTGCTGGTCTACCTGCTTTGCCTGAAGAAAGGTGCTGAAGATGATTTTTGACATTAAGAATTGTGAAACCAATATTTTTATTTATTTATATTAAAAAATCTTTTATACCTGCAGCAAACAATGAAGCTGAAAATAAGAGATGTGACATTTCAAGGCAAACAGAAGAAGCTCAGGTAACAAACAACAGAACAGTTATTTTTTTTGTTTTATAAAAAATTATTTCTGTGTTAAACTTTTTTAAATGATGATGATTCTGAATATTAATTCCTAGGATGAAAATGTTTGTTACGCTGCCCTGGAAATCCATCCGCCATCACAGAGGACGAAGAGGAAGAGGACGATCCAAAGTTCAGATTTCAGTACATACTCTGCCATCAAGACATGAGGAGATTCGTATTTAACACAGAAGTTAAACAGTAATAAAGGAGTCCTTAGAGTTTTCTTTCATTTTATTAACTTCCTCTCAAACTAAAGATAAAATACCTAAAAACCTTTATCTCAACTCTTCTTTTCAGACAACCTTGTCTTATTTCTATTTACATCTCTGTTCATCAGTGAAGCTCTTTTCAATCCAGCAATGACCTTTGCAGGCAGAGCTGCTGTTGCTGCTTGTTTTAAATTAAATGTCTAACTTTCATTGTAGACGTCTAGAGTTCCTCACTGAGACAGCTTAGTCAAAAACAGCAGCGAAGCTCCGACACGCCGTACCCTACTACTCTAAACTGGTTCTATATTTCACTTTGCAGAAACTCTACTTACATTAAAATTAGTGTTGCGCTGATGCCATTTTTTTTGGCCCCGAAATTGATAGCTGATACCTGGCTGTGCAGTATCGGCCCATACCGATACCATCTGTTTGAAATTGATGTGTGTGTATATATGAAGAACTGCATACTACTAGGATGTAAAATAATTGCCATCATGGCTTTGTGCCGCTGCTGCCTACCTTTGTGAAGCAGGAAAAAGACTAAAACAAAGTAAATCCAGTAGAACTTTTAACCTGGAATGGGTGACAATAGTTGAATAAACTTTTGGTTCTCAAAATGGTATCGGTGCCCTATTTTTTGGTACTCTCCTATACCGATACCACCATTTTAGTGCTGGATCAGGGCCCCGCCCAATACTGGTATCGGTATTGGTGCAACACTAATTAAATTATACTTTCAAATATTCTCAGTGGCATTTATTCAACTCAAATTGAATTTGTAAAATTTTTGAATAATGTAGCATCAGATTTTGTGACCATTTTGTTTTACAACCAGCTCTGTACTGTTTATCTAGAAACAGAAGGTAAATCTAAACAGTTACACATTTTTAACTCTTTTGCATGCAATAATGTTTTTGTTCACTTGAGGCCATTAAAAAGAGGGGAAAACAAAAAAGTTCTTAGAAATCTGTTTTAAGGACATCTTCTCTCCTATCTAAAAAGGTTTCTTCAGGTTTAGTTTCCAGTTGTAATATTTGAGTCTCCAACAGTCATGAAAGTCATTAAGTCTGTGTGTGTGTGTGTGTGTGTGTGTGTGGGGGGGGGGGGG